TCGCTGCTGCCCCTCCTCAGGCGCAGCCGGCAGCTAGCGACAATACCGCCACAGCAGCCCCGGCAGCACAGGCCCCCCCTGCACAGCCTGCTCCTGCACCAAACGCTCCTCAGAATCTCTTCCAGGTTTGTTCCACACTCTGATCTCAGTCGCGTTCTCTGAATGCCCATCTTTGTAGTTGGCTCAGCAACAACAGCAACAACAGCATGGGGCCGCTCCTGGTGTCCCAGGTGCAGGAGGTGGTCCTGGCCTCTTAAATATGACAGCGCTCCAGAATCATCCTCAAGTTCAACAACTTCGTGATTTAGTAACGCACAATCCGGCGCTGGCTCAGCCTCTGGTGCAGCAGCTCGCAACTCAGAACCCTCAACTTGCACAGCTTCTTGCACAGAATCCTGAGGCTCTGTTGCAGCTCTTGGGTGGTGATCCAGATGACTTCGAGGATGGCGGCCCCGGGGCGCCTCCAGGAACACAAGTCATCAATATCACGGAAGAAGAGCGACAGGCGATCGAACGCGTAAGCGGATTATCCTATACTGAACATATCTGCTTCGTTAACCACTTCGGATAGCTGGAGGCACTCGGTTTCCCTCGGCAAGCCGTGATAGAGGCCTACTTCGCTTGCGACAAAAATGAGGAATTGGCAGCCAACTATCTCTTTGACAGCAATTTTGACGATTCGTAATGATTTGTACGGATGATTAGTGCCCTTGTCTACCGCAGGAGATGATATGTTCGTGTATATGTAGCTAACTCCTCATGTACTTCTCGTGTTACCCATTGTGTATCGAGTGTAGCCGCTCTGGTGAATATCAGTTAAGTCCGTTTCAAATTATCCGCATTTGAATCACAAATTAGAGGGCGGATGGATTATGCAGCAACTGGTCGTTGAACATCTTACTTTGTATGCCACCATTGCCGATTTAATCTCCATTGATGGTGTCCAATCATTAGAATCCAGTGAATGGGGAAAGCGGGACAACAATTATACAGAAGTAGTAAGTCTATAACGTGCGACCAAAGTCTATGGATTGCCTGAACTCGGTGGCGGTGGCGAAGTTGACGATGGGGGTGCAGTCGTAGAAAGATCTTGTCCAGACTCCATTTCGGCCTCTATTCGTTCTCTTGCGCGCAGTACCTTTGATTGAACATAGTGCGAGTATGTTGGTGGTGCAGATTGTTTTGTGCCAGCCGCGGGCTTAGGAGGTGCAGACGGAGGCGAGTTGGCTTTGAAGAGGTGTTCATAATGCTGCAACAAATCATGTCGGATTCAAGGTGGTTCAACAGTAAATGTATACAAGGACGCACTTGAAGAACCTTGTCAGCTGGATCTTCCTTTTTTACGTTCAGAATCAAGCGTGCCTCCTCTAGCGTCATCCGATGTTCTCGCGTCAGCTTGTCCGTGATCGAGCCCGATGTCGCGTTCCTAACACCCGCTACATCACTGCCTATGGCCGCTTGTGGTTGGTGTTTTGCATCTAGTTCACGCATAATGGTGCAACGCATCAATATCTGGTATTGGCACACATACGAGACTCACTCTTCACTGCTTGTCGACCCGCTGCAAAGAATGCTTTGCCTAGGATTTGTGCGCCAGCAATCGCAATTTGCACGATAACTCTTGGTGAGGACTATACAAGTGTCAAATGTGACCCCGATCAGTTAAATATGCACTGACCATGCGCAGACAATGACAGCGAGAAGTTAGAACCGTGAACGATGGTGATTCGGCAGCGAAGTGGCGGCTGAGGCAAAGGCGCATGGCACGTGAGGAATGAAATTTCCCGATAACCGCGCATTTCAAGCTTGCCGTGCACGCTCACTTGAATATCAACAACCGAAAGCAGCTCTTCAAGCCTATCCTACCTATCTACCATCTATGTCTCAACTTGTTGTAGAGAATGCCTCGAAGAAGAGAAAACATATTATAGCTGATGTTGAGCAAGACACCGAACCATCGGTCAAGCGAGCCAAGAAGGATAAACTCAAGAAGGACAAATCGGTTAGAAAGGAGAAGGGGAAGGCGCGTGCGAGAGATGATGAAACGGAATTTCGAGTAGTACAGACATCAATGGTAGTGTCCATTCCCCCAGTTTTTGCGAGCAACTTGCGCGCGGGTGTAGAGGAGATGCTAGACTCCTTACTCATGAGGTGCGCGGGCTAGCGGCAGTCTCATGAAGGCTGTATGAAATAATCACATATTTTGCAGATATATTCCAGCACTGCAAGGTGTTGTTCTTTCGCATGGCAGTTTACGTTTTTTGGATACCATTGCTACGATCAAGGCTGACTGTCCGTTCACGAATTGTCGCATTGCCTTCGATGCTACGGTATGGAGCCCTCAAGTCGGCATGAAGCTCGGTATGTACCTGCATGCTAACTAAAGCGACATACCATGATTGATCATCAGCCTCATCTAGTCGGCAAAGTCAACCTCTGCTCGCCGGATCACATTGCGCTCCTCGTCCATCGCACGTTCAACGTCTCGATACCCCGCCACCATATACCTACTCATGACTGGGAATTTGAATACGGACCAGCTGAGAATGATCCTGAATTTGGGACCGACATCATGGATGAAAATGTTTTAGAGACAGGCGAGAACACGCCAGTCGTCGAGGGTGGTGGCCGATGGGTGCATAAGCTCACGGGTGCAAAAATGGGAGGGGATGACGGCCGACTAGAGTTCACAGTTGTTGGGTATGTTTCCCCTCGCATATGTCCAGACACGTCACTGATGAAAGCTCAATCAGGTTGACGATCGCAAACCAGATGTTATCTCTGGTTGGGTCTGTACAATTTGACCCTTTCTCTCCAGAACATGCATTGCCGGCTCCTACCAAGACCTCGGCAAATATCGAAGTGTCTCGTACTAGGGCCGCAGAACACGAAGCTCTTGTTCTTGACAACGACTTTCTGGAGCAGGAAGCCGGCAACGAAGATGATGACAGAAGTCCTTTCGCCGAGCTTGGGCGCCTCGCTGACGAGGCCGCTGCAGATTTGCGGGCGAGGCAAGACAAGACGATGGGTCCAAGTAAAAAACGTAAACGGAAAGATGCAGTAGTACGCAGTGCCCAGTGATCGGTCAATAGACGAGTCGTGTGTGGAAACCACATTCAACATCTACCATTGCTATTTAGGGCCTTGGCAATCGTAAACAGATGCTATGCAAGTGCCTTTTGAAATTGACGCGGAGAGTGAATAAAATTCAAGCCGCGCATGCGCGAACGGAATAGCGGAGTGTAAAACCGGAACGGATGGGTCACGAGCTTAGGTCTTTGGCAGGTGTCTCTAAAAGGAAATGCACGTGATCTGGAACGCGGTCGCGTTTAATGCCAGACGCGGTATGTACTATGGTCAGGGCCAGTGGGCCACAATCCGGTCTCCTCTCCTACTTTCATATCTCTGTGCACGTTTATTCGGGGTTTAACTTATATGTCGAATTCTATACCGGCGCCATGGTTGTGCAAATATCTTATTGATGTGGCGGAGACGTATGGGGGAGATTTACCCTCCGTTCCACGGCGTCCAAAGGCGATGAGATCGCAACTGGTGAAGGTAAGCGACCAGCACTCTTTCCAGTATATTTATCAGCTCATATTTCTTTTTATTAAGTTTCTCACCTATCCCAGTCCCGAAGACACTGATGCATGCGTATGGGCGACCCTGTCTGACAAGTCACACGTTATACCGGCACGCTTCAATAGAGATGCAATGAAAGCATTCAGAGAGTGCGTATATCCCTTTCAGAAGATTTTTGGACTACTTGAAAACGTCCCGAGGGTGCTGTTTGTCTAATTGATTTTGATGGCTATCTTGGGCATGGGTGTCTATCGGTCTACTGGTTGCGGCTGCTTCGTTGAAATATGTGGAGGACACTTTGACTGTAATCTGTCTTCTTCATATTTGCAAAAATGGGCGTCTCATGCAGCAGATTACGCCACGGAACTGTTTTCAGCTGGAGTATTTGTACATCGCTCATTGGTCGATATCCTTATATTGGAACAGAAACCCCGTATTCACAGGCAAATCGGTTACTGAACACCGGTCCGCTTTGGTATTCATCAAGAATTTTCGACCATTCTGTGCGCGCGTTCCACTTGGCAGCAAGCAGAAAATGTCCCATACGGAGCAACTTGCGTTGGATGTTGGTTTTTTCGACCTGAAAGGCTCTTATGATGAGGCGATATGGGGTAATCCGACTACGGTCGAAAGTGATCCCAGTATACGTGAATGGGTCAAAGGTCTGCGTGGGCATGGAGGCGGAGGGTAAGTCAATCTACATATACGGTCTATGTTTGCGCCGAACGTTCTCAGGTCTTAATCTCAGCAATGTCTTGAAATTGAGAAAACTGGCCCAGGCCCAAACACAGCAGCGGAACGCGGACAGTCATAAAGAGAAAGAGCCTGGAATGTCCACTATTCCCTCGGAGGGATCACGTAGGACGACGCTTCCTCTGGCAAGAAAGGCGGCTCCCAAACCCTCGCTTGCGGAACCTCCACCGCCCCATATCCCACCGCCCGTGGAGACCCTTAAAACCCCCTTTTCCGCGATACGCAAGAAGCTGTGGCGCGTGAGTAGATCGTGTATAACTGTAGCTACTCTGATCAGAAGTTGTCAGCTGCTTATAGCTTTACTCGGCCAACCCAAAGAAATATATACCTACTCCGGAAGTGCTTCAAGAAATACGTAGGATGCCAGGTATAATTTGTTTGATGAATAGCTGCGTTCAATCTAAGTCTCATGGGTGTACAGGTGCGGGAGATGAGAGGCTCAACAGTCTTGTAGAACACGGCGCTAGTGTGGTTCAGGAACGGCAGACCCCACCAGTCATGGAAGCCCCTGTGTCGGCATCACCTCGACCCAGACGACCTAGTTAGTTTTTTCTGCAGACGCAAAAATTTGCTATAGGCCTGACATTCTTACCAGGGCGCCATCCGTTGGATCTCTCGTCTAGCCCACCTCGATTCTCAAGCGTTTCTCCTCAGACTAGAAATGGACTGCCGCCCGCAACGCCCTCTCACTGGTCGCCCTCCATTAGGGGAAGCCCGGGTCGCTCAGAAATACCTGCGCTCGAACTCGACGCTGTCTCTGAGCGGCATAGCCCAGAGCTTTCCCCCGTTTTGACCCAGCCAGGTTCTGATAGTAATAGTAACGACCAAAGAACATCGAGATTATCTCCAGTAGTTAGAGAACCAGGCCAAAGCCAGTTTGTGCAATTACCAGAACCAGAGCCGGAGTCGGTCTCTCAGCTAATGGTGACGGATCCCCCCTCTCCAATTTTAACAGCTCCTCCTCCAGGGCAAAGGCCACGCTCCGATGTACCGCCGTCCATCCTTCCTCCACCTTCTGAACCTCCAAAAAGCACGCGGTCACCTTTCAAAGTCAGACAAACTGACCATTCGTTTATTCGAGCTCGAGCTCCTATCATACCTCTTCGACCTCTGCACGGGGGCCGTCGAGTTCCGTTGCCAATCTCTGGACACCTCTCCCCCGATCCAAATGTATCTGGTCCTGGACGAATCCTTGTTCCGAATTCTGACATTTCCGGTTCTGCATCGCAGCCGTCACAGCAATCACAGGCCAACCCATCGTCTTCAGAAGAACACCTTCGCCAGTCACTGTCTCACGTATCTCAAACCCAAACGCAGTCTGAATCGACTTCACAATCGCTACCTTCGATCCCGTCGCAGTTGCGAAACGAAGTATTGCCGTCGGCCTCTGGCACTGAGGATGTGCCAAGAAATGATGCAGATGATATCCCTGAAGCAAGCGTTACGGCAGAGCCGTCCTCAACTATGGAGAACGTCGACCAAATTGTCGATCCCACAGCGACTGATCAAATAGGCGATAGACCCTATATCCCAGAGTCCGAAGCGCACCAGCAAGTGGCAGCCGTACCAAGCACACCAGATGCTCCAGGATTAGTGAGTGCGAGGAAAGAGAGTGGAAGTGAAACGGAAGACGAGGACGCCGACGATGAACTTGAGTTGGATGAACTCCTCGGTAGCGAGCATAGTACCTCAGCCAATCTATCCCAATCTCAAGAGATTAGGTCGGAGGTGGACGATCTCGATTCTGACGACGCCAGAACGAAGGAGATGGTTGCCAGCTATATAGCACCCGAGGAACGGAATGAAATCACCAGTCCTTTCGATCCCTCTCCGGAAATCCCTCTCCCCGACATGATTATCGCTGAAAAGGGAGGGGAATTTGAGAAAGAAAGAAGTCTGTCTACTCAATCTGTCCATGGTCCTCAGGCGTCCTCGACTTCAACTCGGGTTGCAGGCAAAAGTATGCCTCCACCTGGACAGGCGCCTTGTCGAGTGTCACATCACGTCGAAGAGTCTGAGCAGCCTCTTCACACAGCTCTTGAATCCCTGCCGCCGCCATCTCCAACGAACGACGGCGACTATCGTCAATCTGTACTTCTAGGAGCAAGTAAGGATGCCTCCAAAGCCAGTATTCCTGTAATGCCTCTGGAGTCGCGTCTCACAGCACCCACTACTCACGACCCCGAAGTGTGGGCCTTGCCAAGCTTTCAACGCGATGTGCACCGGCCGGAAATCAATGCTACGGCTGACCGACCGCAAGAAAACTTAAGAAGACTCCCTGCACGAAAGCGCATAGTGTCCATCTCTTCATCCGACGAAGACGAACGGCCTGCAAAGAGGAAAAAGGTCACTTTACCTGTACGTCAGGACGAGACACGCTCCGCCGCATCGTCATCTAGCGGCGGCGGAAGACACATATCAGAAGGGAGCAAGAATGCTAGCGAGTCCGTCGTTGCGACCCATACCGCGACGACAAATATTCGTCAGATTGATCTGCGCCGAAGTACCTCATCTTCATCTTCCCGATCTAACTCCAAAAAGATGAAGTTGCGGGCTACGATCACATCGTGGGATGTATCGAGTGCTGGAGATTGTGCACAGAAGTCCAAGGACCTCCAGACGCGCGTCGAGATTCCGTCTGGGTCGACATCAGTGGTGAAGGTAAATGGACCTCAAAGAGAAGCTAGTGCCGCATCTCACAAAGGTTCAGGCAAAGATTATCCGATTGAACCTCATCCTGTGGCGCCACGAATGCCGAAGGAGGTCGCACAGAGCCGAGCAAGTACGCATGCATCTAGTACCTCTAGCTCTGAACCCTCCCGGCAATCCGCTGCCAGTGGAAGCCGTGGGGCACTGGAGTCCGAGAGTGTGGCAGTAAATGGAGATAAGCAGCTTGGAGGCTATGGTATCGACTTGAACATGAAGCGAACGGAAGACGGGCCGCCTCTCGTCACTTGGAAAGACCTGGAGGCGATTCTGTTAAGAACTGGGTCTTCGCGATACAAACAAATGGTGAGGGACCAAAAAAAGTAATGCTGCTTTGCTCTTGGGCTGTATCCTGATCCGTGCTTCTGTGTCTCGTTTTTGAAGACTTTGCGCGTGCTGTCAAAGTCTGGGTTGATGTGACATTTATTGTTATTAGCTGCTTTACTTCTCCCTAGCTTGCTGCCGTATTAAACGGCCCGTCTGTATAATTGTCTGTGCCTCACTAATTCTGTCGAGTAGTAATGTCGTATGATTATAATGTTGAAGACTTAGTGTCTTGCCCATCCATGCAACAACTCTCAGTACGACTGCTTCAGCCACGCTAGACTGCCATTTCAGCCACTGGGCGAATGGCAATTGCCGCGTCGATCGACTTGCACGCCCACCACGATGAGTGAATACTGGGTCTCGCACAAGAAGTACTTCTGTAAGTACTGCAACATCTACATAGCAGACGATGCGCCCTCTCGAAAACAGCATGAAAGCGGCCTGCGACACAAAGGCAACGTGGAACGTTTTGTGAGAGGATTGTACAAGGAGGGGGAGAGACGGAAGCAGGACCGGGAAGAAGAGAAGCGGGATATGGCACGTATAGAACAGGTGCGTAATAATGTGTGGATAATTGGCCATGAACGTAACGGCTTGCTGTGCGCAATTGAAGGCTGCGAATGCCGCATTTGCGAGGGACGTGGGCGCTGGTTTGGTCAGGCCGGGCAGTGGCAGTAGTACGCCGGTGGCCTCGGGCTCTGCCACGACACGTCAGCCCGAAAAGAAACCCTCGAACCCATACGCCAACTACTCCACGGCAGAGTCTCTCGGATATACAGACCCGGATGCGGAGAGACTCGAGGCCGAGGCAGCGCGCCGCAGGACACAAGGTGTCGCAGGAGACTGGGAGGTTGTGACCGTAGCGGAATCTTCGACGGCCACAGAGAGAGATGCCCCCGCAACTTTGCCCAACGGTGAATTGGGGAAGAAGAGAGAAGCGGAGCAACCCCTGGATGAGGACGATACTAGGCGATTCAAGCTTCGTCGGAAGACTCTGGGGGCTGGGCTCGGAGAGATCTACGACCCTGGGTTCATTCCAATCAAGATCAAGAAAAAGGAAGAGTCTGTAGATATACTGTTGTCACCTTCCGACGATGGGCAAAATGCTGCTACGGGCTCGGGGGCGACTGCGTTGCCGAAATGGTCGAGCAGAGGCTGGAAGAAGCCGGGCGAGAGCAGTGCAGAGACCACGGTAGAAATGAATGGGGAGCAGGAGGAACCAGGACAAGCAGAGGCAGCACTTCAGGATCCTGGGCCTCAGATTATTGAGGACAAAGCAAGCGCACCAACCACCGCCGAGATACCTAGCCTCAAGGAAGAAACCGCAGCCGTGAAAGAAGAGGATGCAGCGGTGAAGACTGAGGTGCCTCCAGAAGCCATTCCAGCTCCTGGGGGTGGTCTTTTCCGCAAACGCAAACTGCCTGCTGGAGGAGTAGGAGGCAGAGGCAGACGTTAATAGAGATAGATGATGGGTTTGTAGCTCATGTCATCCGGTACGCATTGTTCGCCTCATCTCACATGAGTATCGCTCACACTGGCGATGAACTGTGGTTTTATATTGCTCATGTAACTTCGCATTCTACACTCTGATGACGTGTCTCGCGTGCAGAAGTCTAGTGCTTAAGCCTTCAGTGCCGTTATAGTGGCTTTGCTAGCGGAATCAACCAGGAAGCTGAGCCTGAGGTTGTCGCTTCAGACCCAGGAGTCATCGTGGCAGGCATACGCTACGACACCCATCCTGATGTGCAGAATTCCGATTGTTGGCCATGGGAGGATGGTTTCCCAGCTTAGCCATGCCGAGTAGAACTCGCCAGTCCGGAGGCGGGGCAGTGATTGAGTTGTTCAGACACAATCAACGTAGCCTCGGACGGCGAGCTGTGGTCAGTAATTAGATGACCTACTTTGTATTTCGAGGCCGGAGGCCAGATAGAGCTGTTCTGCTCTTCCAAATTGACCCACCTTTGATGCTACTGTCGGAAGCGGCATCGTTTGAATCCGCACGATAAGCTCTGGCCAAGGCTTGTTTGTCCTTCCTTTCTCCCCCTCCCCCTTCTCTGCCTGCAGCCATGGCCAGCATTGCCGTTGATCAGACCGCTGCAGCAAGTGGCAGAAACGACGGGCCAGTGCCCATGTCGTTCCCTGCGATCCTTCGTGCTCCCGGCTTATCAGACCGGTTTGCTCATCTCCGAACTGCTGAGGACGTCCCTGCCGCAGCTCCCGCGGTGCTCAAGAAGAGTAGGAGAGACGAAAAGGAGGGCAAGCGGTGGGTCCGCCGCAAGGAGAACGGTGTGTGTCCCCGCCCAATCTCGCAATCTCAATTATCTGAGAGCATCGAGATGCCTCGTGTCGATGGCAGCCCGCTTCGTCGGCAACCCACATATCGTCCTCCCCTCCAAGAGAGACTACACCGTTCTCCCTCCGACCAAGCTATCGACCTTCCCTCAGCCTCTCCCTCATTATCTTGCGCGCAACAGTGCTGTCCCTCCTGCCACTCCCGCTGCCCGCGAGCCCAATTCCGCCAATGCGGGACGCTTCTCGCTCAGTCTCAAGGGCATGCGCCGTGAGCTGCGCAAGTCCGGCCCCGGAACAGAGCTCCTCGTCAAGGACGTAGAGGGCGTGATCGTGTCCTGGTTGAGGGATGGAGGCGTCCTGCTTTCCCCGGATGCTGCAACCGAGTTGTCTCTCCCTGGTGTCGCTGTAGGGAGTACCGGGTCCATCAGGGAGGTCTCGCGCACACCACTCCAGCTTGTCTGGTGCGTTGAAGACAGTGCATTCACCCGCTACGTTGTACATTGCTGTGCTCGGTATCACGACGTCGTCAGTTACAGTATGCTTCATCTCTCCTTCGAGCGACCTGCAGCTCACGCGCGCATTCTACCAGGTAAGGACACCTCAGGGCAGCGTCTCACCTACCTTCTTCGGCCCAATGTAACTAGGCCAAACTTTCATGCCTCAGCGGCGCTGGACACACCCCCCGTCACAGACCTCGAGTCTTCTGTGCACGATTTTGATACAGAATCCGAGCGCGATTTCCGTTCCGATGCCGGCGTAGACTCGGATATCGAGCGCGCAGGCCCACATCCTCTCGCCGCTATTGTGGAGACGTCCGCGCCTTCATCCCCCAGCGTAGGCAGTACTTCGGTGGTCGGGATCAGTGATGATGAATGGTCGATACTAGGCGACGTCGACGCCGATGCCGAGGATAGCGACGTGGAGCACCGTCTTGTGTCTGGAGTGGGCTCGCTTGCCCTCAGAGACCCTCAGCAGACACCACGCGCAGAGCCGCGCATGCGACAAGCCTCCCTTCGCTCTCACGTCTGGGAGCGCCAGAGGCGGGGGGGGGCG